CGAAAGTTTAGATGGATTTTTGTTGAGTTTGTAGCCTAAATTGCTCAACGGATCTTGATGATGGTCGTAGATGTAAAGGAATTGTAGTCTGGAAGAACAGTAAACTACGCACTTTTGCTTGTTTTTTTTTTAATTCCAGGCTTACGAAATCGCGGACGAAGTCCAGTTAGTCACTAAAGGATACCGTCAATTTAGATTTGTCATACTAAAGTTACACTAAGGGGAAATTATTCTAATGTGCAAACTAATTTCTTCATAGTATAGTTGCCATATCCAAAATGCTTAGTTCGTAGTTTGCCATCAATAGCGCGGCGACAGGCGACGTGTAGTTTGTGTAGTGAGCGTGTAAACATGGGGCTACAGGATCGACTACAGGGATGGATTTACTGTTCAAAATAAATTGACATGATTATTACAAATGTATTTCTGATTTAAAATATATTGTTTCTTTACTGTGTAATAAATTAGATATCCTTATGTTAGTAAGAATAATTTATTCTGCTTTAAGAGTAGTAAGTACTTCTGTATACATTTTTTACGTTATTTGTTAAATTACAAAATAGGTCCCCTATTAATATAAACTAACAGAAATGCAGTCAGAATTTATAATCTCAATAGCGATAATAACATTATGAATGTGGAAGGGTACGTCGGTAGTGGTAGACCTAGAAAGAGATGGATTGCGTGAAAGGTGACATGATAAAAAAGGGAGTGATGACTGAGGTGACGGATGATAGAGTGCTTTGGAGGACGAAAACCCGGTGCGCCGACCCTACGGGAGTAGGATAAGGCAGGGGGGATGATGATGATGAACATTAATATCATAAAAAATGCTGTTTCTCAAAATTCTTCAGCTTACGTACCTACTTTTAATATAACAAGGTAAAATATTTAAGTATAAAAAGAATTGTAATTACATAGACTATCTCGAATTAATTACTATATCAATGTAATATTGAACATTAATTTAATATTTATCGTATAATAATTGAAGTAACACTCAAATACGTCCCTGGCCTTTTCCTCTTAAATCCATGTATGGTATCGCATGTCGACAAGCAATTTGTGAACATTTGATACAATTCCCTCCACTGAGAACGATTCTGTATCGTTTGAAACTTGTTTCTTACGATCGACATTTTTCATTGGATTTTTTTGTTCTTTTTTAATAAGAATATTAGTAGATTTTTATTAATCTACTAATATTTCTTCTGACCATTTTAACTAAGCTCTAGGCTTGTTATTATGGTTCACAATAGTCGAATTGCAGGGATCCAAACCCTCGACCGCAAGATTGGTATTCCGTACCAAACCATTAGATTATTTATAGATATTGATATATATATTATTAGATATTGGCTAATTGTTATTTATTTGTAACTATTTTAGGTATATTAAAGTTTGTTCTTAGTATTTTTAGTCAGCGTGTTTACTCCTAGGGTACAAAACATATTGCTGAACAAAGGCTCTATCAGTTTTGCATCGCAACGCATTGTTAAAATGTGTATATTTAGTTTTTTTTCTCTTCAATTTTCTTGTCATTAGTTTTGATTGTTAATAGTTAGTTTTCTTTTTTTTCTTCAAGTGTATTATGTTGCAATGTGTGTTAGAACTGATTAAATGTTTATTATTATTATTTTAAGAGCAGTTACCTGTTTACCTTCCTTATTAGTAGTCTTTACTCGTTTTTTAATTGTGAAACTAAACAGTTGACTGCGTAACAATCGACAATCGCAACAGCGCGATAGTTTAGTTGCAGATGTGCGAACGCTCTAATAAGCAAGAGAGCAAATAAATAATACCGAAACGCTGTAAGCGTAGGTTTTTAGTAATGATGTAAGAAAGATTTTTCCTGCTGTTTTCGGTGCCCACGATACAGGCATTGCCTAATGTGGGCATCACCAGATTAATCGTATAATAACCACAATTTGTAATTATCTTTTAGTTGGTATAACTGTTATTGTAATGTTATTGTTATTGTTGTATTGTAATTGTTAATCTCTTGTTTTTCAATAAAATTATTTCTATTTCTATTTCTATAAGAACTATTTTAAGGAAATTTTCGAATTTTCATATGTACATAATTTACCCGACGTCCTTACGGTGAAGGAAAACATCGTGAACCAGCACATATCGGTGAAGAAATTCAAAGATATGTGTGAAGTCAACCTGTAGTGGGCCAGCGTGGTTGACGTGCTTAGTCACTAACTTAGGGTAGGCTACGAGCTCAGTGGGACGTCAGCTGGTGATGATGCGCTAAAGATAATGTTAAAGTATATAAATAGAGTGCGTAAAGTTATTTAAAAAAAGGTTTTGATTATGTTCGAATTTTAACTACTAAGATAAAATTACAACATGCACATACACTTATAATAGTTTGCACTGGCTTGCATTATTCTATTGAATTTCGTTACAATCCATCAGTAACCGTACACCGGGCAAAGTGGTTCAGCAAACAAGCAGAGTCAGGGGTCAGTATTGTATGTACGGACAAATTAAACTGTTTACTCCCACATTAAACAACGTTTATTTATATAAAAATTTGCAGAGATTTTTTTTGAAGAACCCAATAATAATTATTAGCAATTGAAAAAGTTGAAATAATATTTATCTTTTCGTAATTCTGAACCTTCGTTATGTTTTAAATTATTACAATAGTTTTTTTTTTGTAGTTTTAATTTAATATTGGTTTTGTAATAATTTTTTAAAGGTTATTTTTAGCTGCATCAGAATTAAAATTCTATGTTCAAAGATTTTATTCAGTGATTATGAAATTGAGTAAAGAACGTATGTGTAATATTGTCCATTTACGTTGCTTATAATGACAATCTAATTTTCATATTGTGGTCTGCAAATCCAAGGTTTTTCGGTGTTATTTTAAAAACTGCTGGACTGATTATGATGGGACTTTTACTGGACGCTGATGTGTGCGAGAATTCATTAATTCTGCGATGTCGAAATCGTATTGCTAGTTAATTTATGCAAAAAACATATAACAAGTTTTTATCCCACGATACTTATCTACTAATAATTCAATATTAATGCGAAACTTCATAAAATGATATTAAACAGATATCAAAATGCGATATACCACAGATACCGAATTCTTTATCAGTTCAATTTGTCAAACGGATTCCGGATTCGCAGATATATTCAAAAACAGACAACTAGGGGGGCGCGGGACATTCCTTTATTGTGCTCTGACGTCACCAGCACACCCCACATTATCTTATCTCTTCCCTTTCATCTGTTTTTTAAAAAGTTTTCAAGACATTTAACAATCGTTTAGACATAATCTGTATTCTTACTTGTATTGGCAGTTGTTTCTTTTTAGTTATAAAAATAACAATTGACTATTAAAGTTTTTCATTTTTACTTATATTGTTTGTGTTTTCTTTATCTATCCTTTTAAATTACATGTACATTTTATTTACGCTTATGTTAGCAATGACCATATGAATATATCAAATAAACAGTAAAAATATCCGAACGTCAATCCAGTGCTGCCAGTAACGAACAAATCAAATTCTCCGGTAATTCAAATTAGGACTGAGTGTTCCTGACCGCGCCTGAGGCGATCCTAGTGTTGCCAGGTGTTTTGGAAAAAATCAGGACATTGTAAAAATAGTTTGATCTTAAATGTGACTGGAAATAGAAAGGCTGGTGGGGGAGCCAAACATCATAGGCCCAGTCAGCGAAGTCAAAGCCCAGAGACTTCCCTGGCTGGGCCACCTGATGAGAATGGGGGAGGATCGTGGAGCCAAAAAAGCGTATCTCGGAATACCGATAGGCCGCCGACCCGTCGGCCGGCCCAGATACCGCTGGCGAGACGCCGTAGAGCTGGACCTGCGCGAGCTAGAGACGTTCTACTGGCAGGCGACAACGCAGGACAGACGACGCTGGCGCTCTCTCGTGTCGAAGGCCAAGACCCACTTTGGGTCGCTGCGCCAACGCAGTAAGTAAGTTAAATGTGACTTTTTGCATAATGTTAGAGTTTGATAAAGAAAGGGAAGATGCAAAACTGTGATTTTTAAAGATCCTAAGCTTAGATGGATTAATGTATGATTTGTTTTATGTTTTAATTTCCATCGATAAAAAAAAAAAGACAGATAAAGGTTCTTTAAATCTATACGTTTTGATTTTCCTGGTACTTACTACCTATTAGGATTACAGAATTTTCAGAAATGTATTTTTTTTTTCGATGTATGTGAATTTTATTAATTAAATTCAACTTCCAGGATTATCCTGCTAAGATATAGTAGAATGGTGTCCGCTAACGCCGGGGGCCACGTCAATCAGCGCGCAGCCGGGGCTGGCCGCTGGTAATTGTTTCTGTTACCGAACGCTTCCCGCCGCTTCCGAACTTCGCGGGTTTTTTGTTCCTGTTTATAATCTGTGACGTGACAGGTTCGAAATAGTAACTCAATTTGTTTTTTTATTTAGTTAACTATTAACTATGTGATAGCTTTACTTCTCCGTTATTGGATATTTTAAAATAACGAATATTGTGAATTTTAAGTGAAGCAATTTCAGATGCAACGAGTGAAAAGATTACCAGCTATTGCAATATTTATTGCTTTAATTTCTCAATGATAGAATACATTAAAAAAACGTACTAGTAAGTAAAAAAAATGACTGTATAGTTCAGCTTGTGTCCTATTTGTTTTTAAACGTGTGGATTTTAAGTATTTAGTCACACAAAATTTCTGAAAAACTCCCTTTAAGCCGTGCACTGCCATCTATTGACAAATAGAAAAAATATTTTGAGTTTTCATGGACTAAAAACACTGTAAAAAATAGTCATTGTGTAATTGTTTTCTTTTTAATTTATGAATAAATATTATTTATCATACATCTACATCCAAATTACTCACTCTCACTTTTCATTAACAAAGGTTGATGAAACGTTTTTCTAAAATCAAACGCCATCTGTTGATGAATAGCAATAACTAAAAAATCATAAATTAAAATACTATGAATAAAAGTCACAAACACTTTGGTAAGCGGCATTTAATTACAAAATGAACATACAAAAAAACTTGATTAACTTAAAAATATCACTAGAAAAACCTTAAACGCAATATTTGATATTACAATAATTGTGATTAAAAAAGCGAAGGTACACTCAAATCTCTTGGTAACAAATTCTCAAACATAAAAAATGGAATTGTTTTCCTAAAAAATAAACCATTTCTTGATATTATTACGATATGGGAATGAACAATTGTATGGTAAAAATCAATTTTAGCATTTTCTTTCCCACATTTCACTGTGTATTAACAGCATTTGTTTTATTTCTTAAAATGACAACAATAACCAAAATTTAACTTATGTTACTCAGTAATGACTCGCCAAAGAAATTTAATTATTGTCACATAAAAAACCATTTAAAAACTCTTGAATCTACAGATCCATTGTAAATTGATTTTTATTTATTATAATATCTGTATTGATTCTGTGTACTGTCGTCATTTAGTGAAAATAAAACGAAAAATACAATCAAAGCAAAAACATTAAAAAAAACCTTAAAAGCAAATTTATTTAAGAACCACTTCATTTCTTTTTTACTTAAAATATTTCACAACACAATTTCTTTTATCAGTTCATAAGAAAAACCAGATGAGTGGCGAATTAAAAACCTAGTATATAAAAAAATTATTTACTTCCTTCCTATTATGGTAACATATATAAAAGCTAACTTTAGCCCTTACTAACAATTTACTTGATTCAATATAGTGGGTAGTGAAATAAATTCTTTGACTGCACATCAAATGTCAAAGAGCATAAATAAAGTAGAGTAAAAAGTGTTTGTAACTACAAAATATACTTGAAATTAATGGATTTTAGTGCTAATTAGTAAAAAAAATAGATAATTGAGTTATTTGGCAAAAAATTCAAATTATTTTCCTTTTTAATGCTTTCTTGTATAAATAAAAAAAATTGACTTATAAAATAACCGCGTGTATTACCAATTTTTGCTGACTCTACGGGAGTAGGATAAGGCAGTTATGATGATATTTTAACCAATTTCGCCCATCTGGTTTTTCCTAGGAGTAACAAAATCTTACACTAGCGCCCTCTACACAAACCGATAACCACGAAACTTATATAACAGCAAAAGATGCTATTAAAAATCACATAAAATTCATAGGAATCAAGAGAGCACATATCATAATCTATATCACAATAAAAATAATTTGGCATGTCATATAAGGCAACATTTTCGATGTTTTTGTATATGGCAACAATAGTTACAGATTAAAAATGCAATCTCATACCATTTTGACATTTAAGAATCAAAAAAGACAAACAAAAGTTTCTCCTTTTTAAATATTTTTTTTTTCGTTGGAACATGAGTATTTTCATTAAAGAAATATAAAAATTAAATGTTCAGTTTTAATATACTAAAAACATGAGTAAACGAAACATTATATACCTTTTTTATTTTTTTAACAGACTACCAAAAAGGTAGATGTTCTTAATTTGTCTGCATGCTTTTTTTATTATTTATATCTTGGAATCAGTTTTTAAATTAGATGTTTTTGTAAAATCAGTTTAACAAGCTTAGAAATCTTTTAAAACCTTTTAATAGCGCCAGCACTACTAATTGGTAAAGTTTTGATGGCACAGAACTCGCCAGTGTTAATTAATTCAGCTGAAATTCTGCTGTCAATTGCATCATCACATTGTGGTCTCTATTCAAAGAGAATGTAAGAGACAGGATCAATACATGCCAACTATTACAATTAAATGACATGCCCCTATATTAAAACTTACAAACATTTGAACGATTGTATAACCTACTATACAAATTGAGAAATCTTGGACTTACATGCATATCCAACTTACCTAGTATGTACAAAATCCCACTTAAAACTTAACACTATGACTGAATTTTCAATGGCTCCATTGCTTTGTCCTGACACACATTATCAACGTAAACGGGATCATCTTTTTTAACACTTAAATTTTGTATCGTATCATCACAGATATCGTCACACTTTTGATTAACACTTTGCTTATATTCGGACACAAATTCAATATTTAATTCATTATGTTTGAATTGTAAATGCTTCTCTAAACTGGACTTCTGTACACATCTGTACGAGCAGTGCGGACACTTGACAGACTTCTGTCTCGGTCTGTACGGCTTCACTTGACCCTTGATCTCTATTTTATCACCTTCCTTATCATTCATATGTCGCTGTTTGTGTTTAGTGAGGTTAGTTTTCTGTACACAACGATAACTGCACATATCACAACTGAATGGTTTCTGATCTGTGTGTAAATACATATGTTTCACTAGATTAGGTTTCTGAACCGTTCTGTAATCACAGTAAGGGCAAGCGAACGGTTTATAACCTGTGTGGGTTCGCTCGTGGACTACTAGATTGTTCTTCTGGGCACATCTATAATCACAATATTGACATCTGAATGGTTTCTCTTTCATGTGTACTAAGATATGTTTAGCAACGTTGTTCTTTTGACCGGATTTGTAATCGCAGAAAGTACAGGAGTATGGTTTTTCACCTGTATGCGTGCGTTCGTGTATTTTCAAAATGGCGGGCGATTGACACCGATAGGAACATTGCGTGCAACAGAATTTACCTAATTTTTCAACCAATTCGTTCATTTCACCGTTCTCTACGCACGTTTTGACGTGCTGTCTCAAACCACGCTTGCATGGGAACACTTCGTTACATTTAAAACAGACATACTCTCCTTTTATATTCATTGAAACTTCGTCGAATAATTTATTAGAATTCGGTTCGTTTTCGTTTTTCTCTGTATTATTTGTATATGAATTTTGATAATCTGTATAAAACATTTTATTTTGATCTGTGGGTTTTAGATTTTCTTTTGGTTCTTCACTTTTGGAGCTGTCAATTTTCCCGCCAATATCGCCATCTTCGATAGATTTTTTATACTCTTCAGGATAAGGGCTGTTATTAAATTGTCTGTGAACGACTAGATTTTGTGGGTTGTCCCTACTAACGTTGGCTGCGTAATTTTGTACATAATTTTGTTGACGAGAGTATAAATGGTCTATTGAATTTAACGCGGAAATGGGTAAATGATTGTTATATATTGTGTAGGCATGTTCTTGTGGTAGTGTCGCGTTAGCCGTATGTTCTGGATGCAGGGAAATATGACCTGAAAATAAAATCAAATTCAATGTTTTGAACACTATATAAGGAAATTCTTGCACAACATTTTAAAATGCATTTAGTTTTGTTTGATATAGATAATTCAAGATTCCGAATACTAAAGCAACAAAAATCTGGTCAGATGAAGGTTAAATAATCAATTTACTAGCTATGTTTAGATGCAATATATTCAATATGAATATATCTGATATTTAAAAGTGCATACATAGATTTAAATAAAGTTACATCAATGACATTTCTTCGACTGGTTTTTCGTATTAACATAAAGCGATGAAAAAAAAAAAAACGTGTGAAAAAGTGCAGTATATTAGAACTAGCTGTGGCTCGCGACTTCGTCCATTGGAATTATAAAATAGTAAAAAATGCCTATCTCACTTAGTGAAAACGCAGTTTTTAACGATGAAAAAAATATTTAAATCGACTCAGTATTTTTTTAGTTATTTCAATACATACAAAAATACAAATCTTTTCTCTTTATAATATACTAGCTGATGTACGCGAGTTCGTCTACTTAAAATTAAAAAATATAGCCTATGCTACCCACAGATAAACTACCTTTCTTCTTTCTAACGGTGAGAGAATTTTTAAAATCGAGTAAATTTTAATCTAGTAGTTTTTAAATGAATCGAATACATACAAAAAACAAATTTTTCCATTTTATAACATTAGTATAGATAGATAGTTGGATCATTTGGCTATCGAGTGATATAAGGAACCAGTCCGCTACTGACCTTTCTCACCAGTATCAAATAAATATTCATGGGACAAACGTTAGCTGAGCACGGTCATATAATGCAGTTTTTAGGAATAATTTATGTCATTATAATAATCACTAATTGCAATGTTATTCACTAAATCGACGCGGATGTAAATTTTATACAGTTATGCTAATACGCTTTTGCCCGCGACTCCGACGGCGCGGAATTTAAAAACAAAAATACATCACCAAGTAACATAGGCTATATTTATTACTGAAAAATAATTATTTTTTAAAGTAAAGCTAATTCAAATAAAGAGGCAAGATTATTTGAATTAGCTTTTTCCCCTGACTGTCCATATGGTAATAAAATCCTAATTGAAAAAATAAGAAAAGTGTCTATGTGTCTGTGTCTTCTAGTTTATTCTCTATGTCAAATTTCATCAAGATCCATTCAGCAGTTTAAGCTATAAACTCTAAGAAACATCCATACATCTAAATTTTCAAATTTATAACATTAATAAGATAGAAAATTCACGATTTCCTTTAATTTGCTACAACTTAGCTTTAACAGTGGTAGAGCCCGCTTTAACATCTTCGCACGAATTGGCCGGCTCGCCCCGGTGTAATACCACGACCACACAGAAAACAGGCGTGAAGTAGAAGTAATTCCGCGTTTCGACTGATGAGTGTGGTGCCGGAGGCCTAATTTTAGTCCCTTTCCCTTTCCACCCTTTTCTTAAGAGGAAAGGATGGGATGGAAAAGTGGATTTGACGGTGGAGGAGACGCATAGGAAGGGGAAATGTCCTCTTTGTGTGCGTCTCCTCCTCCGTCAATTAAGGATAGGAAACGCATCTACAATTGCGGATGTTTATGGGCAACGGTCGCTTTCCATTTCGGTGGGTTGAGGTGGCCGCTTGCTCGTTTGCCATCTTATATTATAAAAAAAAACTTACCATTTATTGCATTATTAATACCATGGTTAATACTTTCGTAAAAATAACCATCGTCCTCTTGTTCAGATTTAATATGAAACGGCATTGGTAACAAATGTTCTTGTTCATGTCGTTGGTTACTTTCATGGACATTTAACTCCATCTTATGTTCTATTCTGTGTCCCAACGTTTGATCCAACCTTTGGTTTAAATTTTGTTCCAACCTTTGGACCAAATTTTGTTCAAGTATATGCCCATCTTGGACCGATTGTATTAACGGTGTTCGTCTCCCATCCTGACTCATTAATACATCCTGTTCAATGTTTTGTCTATTCAAATGGTGTGACAAGTCTATTTCGTGTCCCAAATCATGAGGAATCTGTTCACTTCTACTAATATTTTGAGGTAAAACATCGTTGATTCTATTCATCTCTATACTCATATTCCTTGCTAGTTCCTGTTCGTTTATATTTTGGACTAAAGTTTGTGTTAAACTCGCTTGTAATTCTAAATCGTTCAGACTTCTCATTTCAAGGTTTCGTGCTAGATTACCGTTGAGTAAATCATCGTGTCGGTTATGTGGCAAATCGTTGGCTAGGTTATGTACCAGATCCATATCAGAGGTTAGGTTTCTCGGCAAATGGGACGGTAGATCGGTGAAGTTCAAGCTTCTACTTAAATGGTTGGATTTTAACATGAGGGTAGACATTTGTCGTGGTGAGAGCTGGAAGTTATGGACGACACTTGCGTTGAGAGACGACTGCATTGCCTGATGCAGCTGTTCAATAGATATTGGTGTGTGGTAATCGGATACATCGACTTGATGTGTTTTCTGAAACTGAAATAATAAAACTTGTTTATTCTCTTACATCAAAGCAATTCTTGTAGTATGGAACATGGAAATAGTTCTATATAATTTAAGAATCACTATACTTCAAAGTTTTCATTTTAGGAAAACACATATTTTCCCTTTCCCTTCATATCCTGTTATTATAATGAAATCAGAGGGGAAGTGGATTTGACAGAGAATTGGATGCATAGTTAGCAGAAATGTCCTTATTCTGTGTGTCCCCTTCTCCATTGGTTGAAGGTAGGAAAAACATTCAGATGTTTATGGGTTTTGTTCATTTGCCAACTTTTAATAAAAAAAAAACCTATCTTTTATTATTCTTTTTTAACATCTAAATTAATAAATTTGAATAGTAATGAAAGTAAGAGATAAATTAATTTTAAATATTTCACCATATATTAAATTATCAAGTGACAAAAAATGCAAATCATTGTTAAGATAAACTATTTTTCTTAAAATTATTGCATAAGCTATATTTTATAAATACTTCCGTTTTTTAATCCATGTGTATTTCATGATATTTAAAAAAACATTGAGGAGTAAAAATTAAGTATACTTTGTACCAAATTTTATATTCTTTAAATCTAGGCATTCCATGTTGTAGCTTAAATTTACCAAAGTTTACTAGCCAAGTTGTAAAAAAATTGACAGAAGTATATTTGCTTTTATATCTCCCAACTAAAAGACATCTCACTCAATCCTAAGTTCCCACTGTAATAAAGATGTCTTGAAATGTGTTCTTACCTTAGTTTTGTAAAGACCTTGCAATAAATTGCATTGTTCTTCAATGTTTAAATTTGAGAATAGTTATGATTACCTTATCTTTTAGCAGTTATTGTTTGACTTACAGTAGAGATACTTATAATTTATTTAAATACTTTACTTATGTGAAAGAGATTAACTTTAAAGTTAATCATTATATCTCTAACTGCAATTTGTTTTTTTAATATGCTCTAAATGTGGACAAAATGTCCGAAAAAATTGATTAAAAGTTTTTAGTATCTCTTATTACATATTTCTAATATCATTTATTCTATTTGAATTAAAATATAATCTTACAGATAACAATAACTTATCTAATAAGATGGAGGGTTTAATATTGTAAGGAATATTAAGAAAATAAATCTTCACTTTAACTGCTTTTAAAAACTAAGATAGTACATCACTTAACATTTACATTTAAAAAAAATATTACAAAATTTTCCAACGAAACTTTGCAAAATACTTACACTGTCTATATAAACTTTGTAACTTTCTTCATCGAGTACATTCGGATCTTCTCTTTTAACAAAATCCATGTTATTCTCTGAATTAACTTAATTAACTCAGTATAAAAAAATCAGTTAGTGATAAAAAAATGACCAGCTTCTAACCTCACTGCAATATTTACACACTAAACTAACACAAAAGTAACACATAAAATGCAAGAAAAAAACTACGACTAGACTAGAAACTATAAAATTACATGATTCACAATCAAAAGGTCAAGTTTAATCATAAAATTAATAAAACAAAAAGAACAGTTTTTTTTTGTTTCACTGACGTTATGTATGGAAAGGAAGCTGTTCATAGACAAAACAGAAAAGCCGTCAACGAACATCTGTCGGTTGCACTGTTGTTGATGGTTTTTATTAGCAGACTAAATATATGAGGCACTTCCTTTTCCTATTTAACAAACGTTAATTTTGAATAAGGACAAGACTAGTTCTAGAGTTAATTTTTGTTAAGAATTTATGATTATGTTTATCACAAAAACTACGCATGGCATAAGTCTGGTTAGATATTTTCCCACCTCATTCAGTTTTTTAAATCTAGATGTAGTAATCAATTTCGTAAAAGAAGCTAAAGTAACAACTAAATTAATCCCGGAATTATAGCTTTTAACAGAAAAATAAATAGAATGATAAAAGTAACTTTTCGACTTCCGTCTTAATTTTCTGTTATATGAATCCTCTTTGAATTCTATCATGGGTGACAGTGACAGTGACAGGGTGACCTTTGTTGTCAATTTTCGTGTCAATTTCAATGTTTTCCATTTTTAAAAGATCGACATTAACATCAACTTTTTCAAGAATATTAAATACTCAATTTGAGATTAAAACTAGTAAATACCAGTGGAGAACAGATCCTTTGGAAAATAACAGGTGAATTTAAACAACAGATCATAATTGCTTTTAATTGTTTTGCATAATGTCCATGTGTAGATAACCCGGCTTATTCGCAGTTCAAGACTACACGTATCCAATATAGTAACATATTAGTACTTAAGTACGTACTTAACCAGTTAAAATAAGTTACCACTTTAATTTGGTTTACTATCAATTTGCAGATCTCTACATATAACCGGAAGAATGTCTAAATCAGCTCTCGTAATCTTAGCGCAGGGCGCAGAAGAGATGGAGACCGTTATTACCGTCGATATGCTTCGTAGAGGAGGGGTGGGTTATATATTTATCATTTAATGACATATATGGTATTTGATAAAAATTATGATCCCATTTTTGCTACTAATTTCGATATTATTATTTTAGACTACTAATTAAGATATTATTTTTGTTCAGAATAAGCTTCCTTCATCCTTTTAATATGATATTCAGTTAGTTAAATGTGTTATTTATTATGTAACACAAGTCCACCAATGCATACAAACTTATTTTTCAGCTGTAATCAATATTCTTTTTATAAACTACCTTAAGTGATTAGTATAAGTAGGCTATGTGTTTCTTCAAACTATCCTCTACATCAATGCCAAATTCTAGATCAGCAGTTTACACTACAAACTAACATCCATCCATCTAAACATTCGCATTTTTAATTTTAGTAAGATTGTTTCATATTTCAGGTAACAGTAACATTGGCAGGTTTGGACAGTAATGCACCTGTTTTGTGCTCGCGTCAAATCACTCTTGTACCAGATAAATCATTATCTGATGCATTGGCTGAGAACCCTCAGTTTGATGCGGTAAGGTTTTTTTTCGTCACTTATAAAGAAAAATTCTTTCAATGATTTTAATTATGTTAGTCTTATCTCTAGCTTGACCGGGAATATAAAAAAACAGATCATTTTGTAAAAATAAAGCTTATATTTTTTGAGCATATTAGAAAAGAATTAAATACAATACCAAAGCTGGTTGGCATCCCAAGGCTTGGATTCCTAAGCTCTTGGTTAGGCTTCAAGTATTAAATTAAATTAAATTTTTAACAGTGGTAGTGCCCGCTTTAACATCTTAGCACGAATGGGCCGGCACGCCCGGTGTAATACCACGACCACACAGAATACAGGCGTGAAATGGAACCAATGCCGTGTTTCGTCTGATGAGTGTGGTGCCGGAGGCCTAATTTAAGTCCCTTTCTCCTTACCACCCTTTTCTTATGAGAGGATGGGAAGGGGAAGTGGATTTGACGATGGAGGAGATGCATAGGAAGAGGAAATATCCTCTTTATGTGCGTCTACTCCTCCATCGGATTAGGGTAGGCGACGCATCTGCAATTGCAGATGTCTATGGGCAGCGGTCGCTTCGCCATTTTGGCAGATTCAGGCGGCCGCTTGCTCGTTTGCCATCTTATGTTATGAAAAAAATATATATATTTTAGGTGATACTTCCTGGAGGTTTGGAGGGATCTGATCGTCTTTCCAAGTCTAGTGTTGTTGGTACTCTTCTGAAGGATCATGAGAAAAATGGCAAGATTGTAGCTGCCATTTGTGCTGGTATGTATAAAACATTATTGAATTATGATAAAGAACAAAGAAAGAGATTACACAAAATTCTATTGTCAGTTTAATTTATTGGAGTTAACTCTTCCTTCGGAGTGTCGGTGGCTCAGTGGTTTAAGCACTTGACTTGTAATCTACAGGTTTTGGGTTCGAATCCCGCCTTGTACCAATGTGATTTTCGATTTTTGGAATTTTCATATGTACATAATTTACCCGACGTTCTTACGGTAAAGGAAAACATCGTGATGCAACCTGCACATATCGTCGAAGAAATTCAAAGATATTTGTGAAGTCGACCAACTCGCACTGTGCCAGCGTGGTTGACTATAGCCTAATCACCCTAATTTAGGGTAGGCTCCGAGCCCCTCCTAGGGGACATATAGTGAGCTGGTGATGATAACTCTTCCTTAGAATAGATGTTATTTTTGTCTCAAATCTAAAAAGTTAAAGGGAATAAAATAAGTAAAGATCTTTTGCTTCCACACTAAGATATGACTCAGATATTAGGCTTAGTTTTAAAGGAAAATAAGATTGTAAAAAAACTTAAAGATTTCAATACAGCAGTTAATTGTTTTTTTTTCACAGCTCCAACAGCATTTGTAGCACATGGTGTTGCTAAAGGAAAGAAATTAACTTCATACCCTACAACTAAAGATAAAATTACTGGAGATTATACATATGTTGAGGGAGAAAGGGTTGTTGTTGATGACAACATTGTCACCAGCAGAGTAAGTGTTGCTAGTTATAAAGTAATTTAACCGTAAATAAAAATCACAACATTTTTAGTTTTGCTAATCTTTAATTTTTCTTTTTATTTAGGGTCCTGGTACAGCTTACTGGTTTGGGCTGAAACTGATCGAAATGCTGACTGGCAAGGAAAAGGCCGATCAAGTTGAAAAAGGCATGATCATTACTGGATATTAATTAAACGTGAATCCGTAATAATACTCTGGTTGTAGAGCTTTTCATAAAAACCCTTTTTAACGTAATGACTTATCTAAAGACAAGTAACAATTCTCAGAACTTATGTCACTTACATAAGTTCTGAGAATTGTTACTGTTGTTATTCAAAAGTAAGCGTTATTCCAATAGTTGTTAAGTTGAATGAATAGTACATTTGAAAAATGTAACGAATTTGTTAATTCTAATAAATTATATCCCAGTATAGTTGTTTTATTTGATTTTGGCTTCGACTTAGGCGAACAGTGAAAGCTTATGTCCATCAGTAAATGATCACATGAATAAATAAAAAGTAAAGTTTTCAAGTGCAATTAAATTTAGTCTTTTATTATTAGCGCCATTTCTAATTAAAAGGAATTACTTCAAATAATAATTTAATTTTACCATTTAAAAGTTACCATTTTAAAAGAAATCGGTAGCAATTGTTATTTTTAGTATGGTATCACTATTCTGCTCTCTTTGTCTATCATGAGCTTGACAGAGTCGAGCGGAAAACTTGTTTATGTAAACTTTCTGTCAAGTGATTCGTGTTCGTGTTTCAAAATATCGTAGCCGAGAAAATAACAATCCACCGTGGTACGGACGCAGGTGTTGCAACTTTGCACGGTTAACTTAACCAGTCGATTGGTTTAAATTCAACAGGAATTGAACTTTTGTCTGTTTTTATTACTTGTATAAATAATAAAAAAAGAAACGTTAAACAGGTGTGTAACGCGGTCAGTCGAAGTGTCTATATCAGTGCATGTTTTGTGTTAATTTTTGAAATAAACGACAGTGTAATTAATTTTCTTTTACCGAAATATAAACATGTTCACTTGTTGAGGTGTCTTTGTGTAAGTCATCGAATAACTGTGATAAGGATTGACACGAATTGCGTGTTTATTATTGAACCCGTAGTAAAATTGTGCCTAAACATGTTCGTTAATCTAAAATAATGATATCGTCCAACAGAGTGCAAGCGATAAAAAGTAAATTTGAAAATTTGAACGTCGAAAACGTGCCGGTTGTTCGGAAACGAATCGTTCCAAAACAGCTGTGTATACAAAGTAAGGTCAGCGAGGTAGACAGTGAAAATATTTTCAAAGGAAACATAATTGAGCGAAATGAAATATCGTTTAAGGAAAAAAGCAATTGCGCTGATTCAGACTCTAGTGACGATATATCGCCTAAACCTAACCACAGCTATTTGTACGGTGAAGTGAAAAGGACCGCTGGTGATACGAAGAAATTATTATCTCGCCAAACTAGTGATCCTGGGAAGAAACTCCACAGAAGTCACGCATTCCGTTGTGACAGGAGCCAGAAAATCAATGACACACCCAAAAGGCATGGGAGTTGCAACGGTAGGTCAGAATCTGGAGATTTCACATTAAAAATGGGTGATAAGAAACTTAGTAAAGATAGATTGAGACGTCTCGGGAATTTGTTGGAAGATCAAATGAAAAAAGAAAATTTCAAAGTCAACAATGAAATATTTGTCGGTGAAATTAAAATGGTTAGAACTGACGGCAATTCAATACCTGATTCTCAAGTGCCAAAGCACATTTTGGATCAGTACGCTAAAGTTATTAAAAAGAAAGAGGTTGATAAACAGGATGCTATGACAGACAGTGGTGTTAGTTCTGAAACTGAAAATTTGGAGGAGGAAAAATGCAGTAAAATCAAACAACTCATGTCTCATTATGAGAAACCTGATATAACTCAAACACGTAATGTGCCAGAAATAGAAAAAAACACTAATGAAACTGAAAATGCGGTTATCAATGTTGATGATCAAACAAATTTGGAATTAATGAATGATCTTTGTGCATCCAGTGAGACAATGAAACTGGAACGTAAGAACCCTCATTTAGTTTTAACCGACACCCTTAAAAAGGCTCTGAAACAACCATTACCTGCAGGTCCTCCACCTAAGAAACCACCTCGCATATTCACAGCTCCCATTCCTGAAGCTACCCCGGTACCTCAACCTGAATCTCCTGAAAAGCAGAGGAAAGATACAAAAAAGATGATAGAAAAACTCGAGAAAGCATTACAGAGAAAGGAAGCACAAAATCATTCCAACAAACATATTTATGATGTAGCCGAGGCGGATTTGAGTAAAACAAAACCTAAGGAGATACATTACTTATGTACAGAAGTCCTTGATATTGCACAACGGTCACTAATTGCCAATCAACATATTCTTAACCCTATAAATTGTTTCACTTCATTAAACTGTGCCATAGTGAATAACCATTCAACATTAAGCTTGCCATACACTAGATTGAGTACAGGTTCTATAAATCGTGATTCTGCACACTTTAATCCTGACACTGGTAATGACAGCAAACCTCATCTTACCACTTTTGATAAAACAAATGAATGCGGTAAATGCCATTCAAGTGATGGTTTTAAATGTTATTTGAGCTGCAAATGTAACGATCTCGTTGAAGAGAAAGAGAATCAATGTAATTTTATAAGTTATCTTAAATCTGATTATAGAAATAAATTAAGTTATCCTGTAGATGAGGAACCTATATATGATGAGCCTTATATCGGAGATTGTGATGTACAGATTAAAAAGAATGAATATGGAACTTTAAGCAGTTGGAGATTTAAGGAGAACTGCAGTAAGAGTTTGGAAGATTTAAGAATTGCTGATAAAGAGGTGAGTTTATTCTAACATTAGTTTTAACCCACAACTTTGTCTGCATGTTACCAATTAAATTTAGTTTGTTACTCAGAGATAATGTACCTTTCCATCGGTCAAAGAATTTTTTAAATCAGTCCAGTAGTTTTTGAGTTTAGTAACACAAAATACAAATGTATTCCCTATAAAGTTAATATTGAATTTATTTATAAACCACTGTGGTGATTGTTTTATTAATCTATATAATATCTATATTATTTTAAAGAGATTTGTATTTTTATATATATTGAAATAACACAAAAACTACTGGGCTGGTTTTAAAAATTCTGTGTTAGAAAGGTAATGTCTCTGTGAGTAATCGCGGGCAACAGCTTGTATAATAATTTTGTATTCCTTAGTATGTGTCAATATGTACTGCTGCCCAAACCCACCATTATAATTTTTGAGAGATATCAAATAAAACAAAGACGACATATAACAATAGAAAGATACTATAGACAATTAAATCTATGTTAAAACCACAATATGTTGCAATATTTTAATAATTGAATACATATTTCATATCTATTTGAGTGTTTTGTCATAATTAATTTAAATTTATTCAATAAATAAATGGAACAGGTGTTTAATACATTCCATATATTTTTTCTGTCGAAAACAAACATACGAAATACGAAATGGTCTAGTTTAAAATTTGTCAATTTTTGGTAATAACGTAATAGCTCAAAATATGATTTTTTTTGACCAACTTCCCAAAAGAAGTGGTCAATACGTCTGTATGTTTTTTTTTTTATAAAATCTTTCAAATGGTGTTATTTTTTTCTTTTCGTTGTCTGTCCACTGCTGCCAGCTGCGTGCCACTGCTACTGGTTTGAAAGAATTCGGTTTAAAAAACAAATTAACAGTAATTATAAAATATTAACAGTAATTATATAAAATAGGTGTTTTGTTTAGCGGTATTATTGATATACAATATGTAACTTTTCCGCTTCGCTTCGTAGGCACAATGGCGGGAAGTTTTCGATTAGTTATCCGGTTTGTTTACCTGATTGTTTTGGTTTTACATATATATGTAAAACATCGTATAAGTAAAGTGTTTTAAATAATAACTCGGTAATTCTGATATATTTACACGCCGAGGTTCGTTCACAAGGTTCTTTAGTTCAGTATTTTTATATCTATATCAACGTAAATTACAAAAAGTTAATTCGCAATTTCTCTAATGCTAAATATAGGCCAAAGTACAGTCAACTGCACAAATATTTTGCATTTAAAAAACCTTAGTATACGTCTTCGGGTTCAAAATTAATGTTTGCATTTATTCGTAAATAACGTTTATTTTGGTTGAAAGCATATTTTTTAAAACCGAAGATGTATACGCGTTTCAAAAGCTTTTTTACTTATACATTTATGCAGCTGACTGTACATTTAACTTCATATAAAAGTATATATAAGTTAGGAGGGACATTCGAATCCTCGAAGGACTCCTTTCCCACGCGTCGACGCGTGACTTGTCCATGGCCTTACGTAACGCTTCGACGATCCTGATGCGACAATAATGAGATTAAATTACAGGATAATACAATTTCGACCTTATAGATATAATATCATTATGATGAGATTAATTAAATCTCTTAAATCAATCCGAAAGAGATGAGCGCACTTACGAATAAAATTCGATAATTTGATTGTAGATTTTGGTGCCTATAAGAATATGCCACACGAACGAAGCCACATCGTAGAATTGTCTTAATACAAATGAAAACTTAGTTATGTAGGAATAATTAAATTGATATGCAATATGCATATTTATATAAATTTACTTTGTGTCTATTTCTATTAAGATATTTGTACTGACAAACACAGAATATATGTAACGAAGTTTGCGGTGCTTGTGTGAGTATCCATGTGAATGAACTCTATTGTCTTATGCACAATATGCGTCACTTCAAGTTATGAAGATGCGTCTTGTAATGTTATCTTCAGTAGATTATTAAACGCTGGACTACATAATGGTGAGAATAATCGATGTTATGTTACCAATCTTATGTGGTCGTGGTATCCTAGTATGCTAAGTGTTGAGTGTAGAATCAGGTATTCGATCTCTTTGGTAGACAAGTATGCTTTTTGCTAAAGAGGCATACTGGCCACTAACAAGCCTTTTAAAGTAAAAAAAGGTAATTTAATATTAAAGGACAAAGGTTAAATCATGTCACAAACCATTCATCTTTATAGAGTTTACATTCAAAAATAAGGCAGTTTTTATCTATTCTTCTATACTATCTATACTTATCTATCTATCTTATAATAAAGCGTAAACACAAACTTCGTTGTTGCCTAAGATGTCAGCAATTACAGCATATTTTTTTAATAAAATCCTACACTTACGTCACGCTTTAGGCTATATTTTTTGGCGCCATTAAACTTAGGGGGAAATGGATGGATTGCGTGAAAGGTGACATGATCAAGAAGGGAGTGATGACTGAGATGACGGATGATAGAATGCTTTGGAGGACGAAAACCCGGTGCGCCGACCCTACGGGAGTAGGATAAGGCAGGGGAGATGATGATGATGAAACTTAGGGGGAAATATTTTGGAAAAAAAACCCTAAAGTGGGAAAGAGACTATAAGTTGCTACCAACATCAAGAAAGCAAGGTTGCCATGGTTTGTCATCATGTCATGTCATTTTGATATTTGTAATTGAAATTTGACACATGTAAACAATATAATAAAATTTTCATAATTTTACGCGGATAAAGTCCCATGAGAACAGCTAGTATTATAATAAAGCGTAAACGCACACTTCTTTGTTGCTAAGGTCTCAGTAATTACAGCATATTTTTAAATAATGATTTTTTAAATAAAAAGCCATACACTTACGTCACGCTTTAGGCTACATATTTTCACGCCATTAACCTTAGGGGGTAAAATTTTTGGATAAAAACCCTAATGTGAGAAAGAGTCCAAAGTTGCTGTCAACATCAAGGAAGCAAGGTTGTCATTATGTCATGTCATTTTGACATTTGCAATTGATAATTTGACAAATGTAAACAATAAAAGAAAGTTTTTATAATTCCATGCGGATGAAGTCGCATGAGAATAGCTAGTATCAAATAATTTACGAAGGTCGTTAGAGTTTACGTTCATGTCAGGCCGTCACACGCGGCTTTCACTGGCGCAACGATTTCTAATGCAACGCAAAATCGATGGCACACGGTTACAAGTGTAAGATAACGGTTCGTGTATACACAAGTCATTGCTCAGGTACTCTGAATTGTAATGTTTTGTTGCGTTACAAACGCTCAGTTCTAACTGACAGTTTTACTTAACCCTAAAGATTTTTTTTGTAGCAAAAAACTGATTTTTTAATCTATACTATAATTAATTATTTACGGCTTACTCACGTATACTTTTCTTTTTCCGGTGACGGTGACACTATACTATAATATAATAAAGCGTAAACACACACTTCTTTGTTGCCAAAGATGTCAGCAATTACAGCATATATTTGAATAATTATTTTTTTAATAAAAAGCCCTACACTTATGTCATGCTTTAGGATATGTATTTTCATGCTATTGAACTCAGAGGGTAAATAAATTTGATAAAAACCCTAATGTGGGAAAGGGACCATAAAGTACAAGCTGAAAACATTTTTTTATAGTTTCATGCAGATGAAGCCGTATGGGAACAGCTAGTAGTCATATTTTTAGATACGAAAAGTGATGATATAAATGTTTTTTTTTTTAATTAATTGTTCATCAAAGTGGTAACTATCGAATGAAGGGTTAAGAGTCGAACTGTTCAGTTAGAACCGAGTGTTTGTAGCGTTTAAGTTTCTTTATTGAAAAAATAATATAACTAAAGCCAGCTACATACGTTTAGTTTAGACAGTTATAACTGAATAGAAGAATTGTTCATTTTTTGCTTTAATTAACTATGTTGTCAATTGTATTGTAGAGTAATTGGTTCTTTTTTGTACAGTTCTCATTTTGTATTTTAATTGTACAAGTGAAATTTAATCTCTTTATAATCGGTATGTTTTGTGGCATTATCAATAACTGTAGATTAGTTCCCACGAGTTATAGAGAGAGATAGAATGATGTTTTGCTCGTGTTAGATAGAGATAACAAGGTATATTCTAATTTCTACTTGAACAAAAGCGTACAGTTTTAATTGTTGGAACTCCTGTATAACAAAATATACAAATATAGCTTTTACCCGCGACTCCGTCAGCACGAAATTAAAAAATATGTGTTGCCTATGTGTTCTTTCAGACTATGCTCTACATCTGTGACAAATTTAATCGAGATTATTTAGCAGTTTAGGCTAGAAACTCTAACAAACATCCATCCATCTACCTAAACTTTCGCATTTATAATATTACTAGCTTTCGCCCGCGACTCCGCCCGCGTGGAATTAAAAAACACAAAAGTGAGTAGCCTACGTATTCTTCCAGACTATCCTCTACATCTATACCAAAATTTCATCGAAATCCGCTAAGCCGTTTAGGCTACAAACTCTTACAAACATCCATCCATCTAAACCTTTGCATTTGTAACATTTGTAAGATTATGATTTTATTAGCTAATTCCAAAACAATTGAATGTTTTCAGAATCCGTTTAATATCTTAGTTTAAACTTTACGCCATAAAATAATCTTGTTTAAAGAAACATGGTCCGATTGTTTTTGTTCCTTTTCATAAATATACCGTACACCCGTTAAAAGATTTGAGTTCTCGTTTTTAAAACACCTGCCCAGGATATGCCTACCCGTTTCTCCTTTTTTTTGCTTTTCTCCTGGAAATAAGACTTACTTTGTTATAAATTGAGTTATCTTCGCAAATAAGCAAGTAATTTTTAAATTATTCTCTAGTTTATTAATACAATTGGTAGGAAATTCTCAAGGTATGCTAATCTTCCAAATTACTGTAGAATTTCTCTTTGTAATATCAACGTCGCAGCCACAGTCTATAAATCACAAATGTACAACTTGAATACATTCCGGGAACAAAG